GCCTTGAACACTGCCATAGGTGGGAGCAGTGCCTTGGTCTTTACTTCTGGGGCCAAGACTGAAACAGCTGCACTCTGTAAGGCCAGGTCCCTCTGAAGGCAGCCTGTTGAAGTGCAGTCCCCTGCAGCCTGCATATTTACCCCTTAATTTTCCATTTTTTCCTCTCTCCAAAGATGCAGAAATGTCACTCAACAGGTTGTAAGTGAGTGTGTGGGGTGGGAGTGTGTGCGCCAGACTGAAACTGGGAAACACTGTCTGCCAGCCATGGCTGAAACAGGGTTGTGACTCAGTGTTCTACACACCATGCTATGTATCACTGACCACGTCTGACCTCCTGCCTGGTGGGGTGAGGGAGATGCTAGGAGGAAATGTTGCCCAAGCACATGAGGTCATGGGGGTGTGGGGGCCAGGTCCTGGATGCAGGGAATCGAACTGGACTGGGTGCACAGGCATGCTGAATTTGCACCTCTGGCTCTTCTGCCTTGGGCAGGCAGAACAAGGAGCCCACTATATTGCCCACAGAGCACACGATTCTGCAGCCTGTGTCCTGTTACTCCACCACCCCAAACTACATGAGGTTTGGGAACTCACTTGGTGAGCAGAACAGGGGCAGAGCTCATGTATTTCCGTTTAATGTGGTGCTGAGACAAGTCCTCCAGCCAGGAGGAGGTTCAGGTCCACAACTCTGGGGGTATCCAAGCAGCTTCTGCCTGGGGGGGCTGCACACTGTTGTTCCCCTCAGCCCAGTGTGCGTTTTGAAGGCAGTGGCCATTTTCTAGGTCTTGCTGCAACCACGTTGCATTTGCACGTTGCCTCTGCTGGAAGCATATCCTCTTTCTGCCATCCTCATTTGCAGAAGGGGATGCTTCCAGCAGAGGCTGCTTCTCTTTTCACCTCCTTCCTTGCAGAGGGTAGCTTTGCATCTTGAGCAGCTCACCTCCCCTTAGCTGCGCTCCGGCTGAATTTCAGGAAGAGAGTGCGTGCTGGGAGCTGATGGGGCTAAAAGCACTGTCGCAACTGACCAGAGTGGGCTATGAGACCTCTTCCCTGCAGCTTCCTCTAGCTGCTGTGCTGGTCCTGCAGCAGCCAGCCACTTGTTGGTGTCCAGAGCTGGCGCTAAGCATTCTTCAGCTCATCCTGAGCTGGGTCTCTGGGGAGCTGCTTCTGTGCTGGAGCTGTTCAGGAAGGATTCCCACCCCTTTCCTAATGAGACTGAGTGAGTAATAGAGATGTTCCTGAGGGATGGTGTTGTAAGGAGTGCTACGTGCATGTTCAGGACCAGAGAGCAGGTCTCCACTAGCATTTCCCTGCTATTGTGCAGCAGACGTTGATGCGTGTCCCATCTTGACAGAGGAGATAAGCTATCTGTGTGCAGATGGGAACTTGCCTGGCAGTTGCAGCCACTCGGTCGCATTGTTCTTATCAGGTCTCCTGGCTTGGCAAGTCAGTCTGTCATAGAGAATGGACATGTGTTTGGGGCTGTTCAGCCTGGGATATGATAAGATTTGTCTGGTGTGAGTCGTGTTCAAAGCATTTAGTTTGTAATACCCTTTTCCCCTCTCAGGAGCAAGCACTCTCTATCCAGGGATCTGACTGCAGTTAAAGCTGTGTGTCTGCTTCATTGCTGGGGGACTTCCAGAAGGAGGACTATGGAGAAACCTAGGGCAGCCAGAGAGACACAGCCACGTTCTGGCTTTGGTGTGTTGCTGGTGGTGGGGTAATAGGGGCAGCAGGAAGAGGCACAAACTGGAGGGAAGGAAGATAGCCAGAGAGAGAACAAATAGCCTAGCATGACTGCTGGGAATGCAAAATAAACATCCACTGTGGTTGAGTGAGGGCTTATGTACTATTCAATATGTGGCATGGGTCAGAAACAGGAGTAGAGGCTCACAGGAGCTGTCCAGAGGAAGGACAGGATGCCCACAGGGGACTGGTCATCAAAAGAGGGTGTCCTCAAATACATGGTGTGTCCAGTATTGTGCTGGGAAGGGAGATGAGGTGTCCCAGCAATGCAGAGCAGCTCCCTGCAGTACCTTGTGGAGATGAAGCATCTCTGGGCAGTTCCATGACCCAGGAGGCTCAGGTGCTGGCTTCAAAAGCTCCTTCACATGGTGCCAGCTCTACACAAGGCTGTGTCCGTAGCTCCTTCCTGGGAAGCAGGGAAAAAGTAATTCAGCACTCATGCTGGTGAGAGTTGGGACCTACCCTGCTTGTCCTTGGAGCTCCTGTGGCAGGTCAGGCTCCTTTCCCTGTGGCTCATTCCGAAGGTCCATGGGTTCATGTATTTTTGGTGCCCTTCCCCCTGGAAAGGGGGAGGAGAGGAACAGGGAGAGTCAGTTGTGTGGGCCTGGTCTTTTCTTAGGTCTCCTTCAGATGCCTGCAGTTTCCTCTTTAGATGCCCATTTCCCACACCGAGTCAGTCATTTTGGGATTTGAATTCCCTTTTTTTTGGCAGCTCTTCTTTCCCATCTCCATCTGGTTTGGTTTTTACTGTTTCATTTTGCAGAGCCATCAAAGAGAGTTTGTTCAAGCTGATTTTTGAGCAACAGATAGTTTTGACTTGACAACCCCTTCCTCTGCAGACCTCAGCCATAGCCTTAGATCCAGGGTGGGTTGCCCCTGTGGACCCTCTCAAAGCTGATGTGTGGTAAGGTGGGTGCTGCTTGCCAACGGGGATGAGTACTTGGCTTTAGTGACGTGAGCATGGGACAACAGACCCTTTTGATTTTCGCTCCCCTTTTTTCCAGCCCATGAGCTGTTAATTCTTGTGGCTTTTCAAAACTTGCTATTTCTCCCTTAGCATTTCTTTCTCTTTTTTATTTCCAGTGGATGAGCCACCCTTGGCATCGTGCCTCATGCGTGTGACTCAGATGGATTCTGCTCGTCTGAAGGATTCCTGCAAACCCTCAGAGTTGTCCAACCTGCCTGGGCTCAGGCTAGAGCCTGGGAGGAACACACTCAGAGTGGGTCGTGCAGTGCCAGCACTGCTCTCCCTGTGTGGATGGACCGCTGTGTGCAGGGACGTGGCAGTCACTCTTGCTGCGTGCCCTGTGGGATGGAATCGGGATGGCTGCTCTGAGCTCAATGGAGGGAGGTCCCCATGGAGCTTTTGTGTATGGTGCAATGCTGTTTCTTTTTTGCTTATTCAGGTTCCAGCCAGCTGGCCTCACGCTGTCTTTGTTGTGGGAAGTGGTCCCCTTGAAGTCAGGGGAATTGGGCTTGGGGCATCTTGGAAGTTCCCTGGCTTCCACTGTTGTCAGCTCAATTGAATGCCTCACACTTAATTGCACACACCCAATGGCTAGTGTTTTTCAGAGGCACTGAATGCCTCAGTATCTCCTACTGACAGGAGGTGGTGTGGTGAGAGATCAGCATCTCTGATACTCTAGCTGCAATTAGCCAGGGGAGCACAGCTTCCTTTTAGCTTCTTGCACAGGTTTGCAAAGCTAGCTTTATTTCATTGTTTATAATTAATTTTTTAATCTGGCCATGGAAGCTTTAAGATGAAAATCAAACAGGAAGAATTGTTTTGGATGTGAACTTGGGTGTCTGTGCCTCAATTTCCCCAATGGTGTGCAAGATGAGGGGGCTGCCATCTTCCTTAATGGTAAGATAAAGCTGTTGGAGATAATAATCTTCTGATGCAAGATGCAAGTGGAACATAAAACCTCATGAAACTGATCCTTTATGGAGGGCTCTTTGGAAGATCCTTTTCCTACTGAACTAATAATAGCTCACCCAGCAAGTCTGGGTAAAGCTGGGAGATTACAGAAGTTTATGAGGAAGGGAAGACATGAGCCTTCTATGCATGTTCTCCTTGTCGGTAGGGAGGCTTTCAACACAAGTGCGTTGTTTATCTCCAGGCGTGTTTTTGAAAGCCTTTCCCACAACACACATTCCTGGCATGCCCCCACAAAGGAAAGAATCAGAGAAATGAAGGCTGGAAATGGAACTGGATGGCATGCAATCACTCCTCTGACCTCCCTTCCCCATCCTTTGCTGGTTCAGTTCATTCTGCTCCTCTGGCAAGATGAGCACCTGTAAGATGCTGCTTGGGTTAATGAAATGGCCCTAGATGCCTCATGAGCCAGCTTACTTGCACAGGAACCACCTTCCTCTCTTCCCCATGCACAAGTTGTACTACTGTTGCCACAGACTTCTAGAGCTGCCCAAGAGAGATGTCCTCTGCAAAGGTACGAGGACATAACTTGGCTATGGGGATGTAAACCGTCTGCCACAGCATGTTTGAGCTCCCCATGAAGATAGGAGATGTTAATTGCTGTGGCACCACTGCCTTTCTCATAGGGCAGGGAGATGGAGCGAGTCTGAGGCTACACCCACCCCACTCCTTGGTGCAGGTTCCCTCCTTCACTCCTGCCCCTAGTTCTGAAAGAATGTGTTTGGTTTCTTTCCCACAGTCCAGCTGTTCAGCTGACATTATCCTTCCTACTTATTCCCCACGTCCTAAGAAAGAAAAATGGCACCCTACAGCTTAAGGGGAGTAATGCTGGTGGCCTCTAATCCCTTGCCTCTAGGTTCAGAGCATGGATGCTGCTTCCATACTTCCCAGAGGGGATCTGGATGATGCACTGTCAGAGAGCTGAGGCATGAGGGGTAGCAGAGGCTTTACCTCCAGTCCTTTATTCCTTCCCACTTTAGTTGATCTGAATGCAGAGACCAGTGCCTTCCACAGGGCAGCCATCCCACCCTGCTTAACCTCTTAGGCAGGAAATTAGTGCTCATGGGCCCTAGTGTCCTTGTGCTCATCATTGCCTTGGCTTCTCCTGTATCTCCTGGACAATCCTCTCCTGTACACACCCTCAAGATCTGCAGACCTGCTTATCCAGTCTTGGGCTTACCTCAGAGCTTGGCTGAGGTAAGTACATTCTGTTCTCTCAATCCTCCTCCGTTAGCAGGAGGCTGGCTGACTTTCAGAGCGTGGGGATCGGCTGGGTGAAAGTTGCAGCACTACCTGCTGAGAGGCAAACCAACACGTCTCCACCACAGGGAAACCAGTCCTGTCCAACCTCTCTGGGAATTTCTGGGACTGTTAGGTGGAGGACTGATCATCTCCATCAGGATGTGGTAGAAACCTCTTCTCCGTTGTGTCCTGAGCCGTGGCCCCTGAAAACCCAGGATTCAGCTTCTTGAAATGCAACCCACAGCCCTCTAAGGCTGGGGTCATTCCCCCCTAGGTTTCATAAAAGGGGGAAACCAAGGCAGAAACGTGGCTTAATCACAACTGCAGGGAGGAACCTCAGCCAGGGCCCAGATAAGGTCAGAGAACACAGTTTAAATCGGGTCACTGTTCAATATTTATTGTGTGGAGTTTTTCTCTTTTCTTTTCTCCTGCACTGAAATCCTTCCCCAGAGGCTATTCAAGGAAATAAATAGCCAGTGGAAAGGGACAATAGCTTGCTGTGGAGCACAAATTATATGAAGCAGTAGGAAATAATAGCAGAGTGAGCAGCTGCTACGCTGAGAAAGAATGCATGGTTGGGCTCTCCCGCTCCCTTTGCCTTGAGTGGATGCTTATGCCTGGTTTGCAGCACAGGCTCCCTGGTGCCTTGAGTGCAAAAGAGGACTTGTGCCTTCTCCCCTCTGCAGCGTCCTCCTCTGGTGCTGCTTCTTTGGTGTCTAATTGGTGCCGAGCTGAAACCTCAGCTTTCTGTGAGGGTGTTAAAGGGATCTTTCACTGCTTCTTGCAGAGCGTGGTTTGATGTTTGGAGACCTTCATCATAGCACTGTTGTGAGGGATAGCGTGGACCATTTTGGTGTGGATGCCGCAGAAGGCCCCAAGAAACCTCTCACAGCTGGAGCGGTTGGGCTACCTTGGCTAGGAATTGGGGAAGCCTGTGGTTTTCCTCAGGGCTTCATACCTGTCTGGCTTATCTCCTGACCGAGTAAGGAAACTAAATAAATACTGCTGCCAGCAGTGATGCTGCTCAGGATCTTGGCAGCCTGCTGTGGAGGGTGGCATTCAATCTGTGTGGGTGTCCTGTGGTAGAAGTGGCAGCTCTAGGCTATGGTACATGAGGTACTGCTACCCGTAGCCACCCCATGGGTGCTCCTGGTGGCCTTGAAATCTCCCCCAGATGAGCAGAAAGGCTGGGAAGGACTTTTAACCCGAAAACCTACCTTAAGGGGCCTCTGCAAATGGAGCTGCTGCATTTCATGGGGTGAAAGCACTCTGCAGAGGACCTGCCCTTCTGGCTAAAAGCTGATGTGGTTGCACTGGTCTCTTCCCTCCTTAAAATACGATTTTTCTGGTTTTTCTCCATGCAAAATTGCAGGCCTGCCTACTCTCTGTTGGAAGCTCGCCTTGCCTTTGGGTTGGGCATGGCCCCCACCTTGCAACAGTGACTGCTTCTTGGATCTCTGCTGTCCCAAGGCATGCTCTGAGAGTGCAGCAAAGCTTCCTCCACTGCCAGCAGTGTGAAGATGGGTGTCCCATACCAGTACAGGCCAGATGCCCCCTGGCCAAGATGAGCATCTGTATGGGACCTGGAGAAGTGCTCCCAGACAGGTACCCTTTTATAAGATCATTTATCCTGGGGATGAAGTGTTCCTGGATCCCTTGCACCAGTGGCTGCCAGCTTCCACAATCATTGCTTGTAATTTTCCTCACTGCACAGACCCTCCACCTCCTTTACAGATGCACTTTAGCCTGATTTCCTTTCTTTGGGATTTATGTTCCCATCATACCACCGTTTCCACAGGCTTTCTGCTTTGCAGTGTCTGCAGGGAAGTATCAGCCTGCCCCCTTCACCCTCCTTTCATCATCCCAGTTGCCACCTCCAGTTGCACTGGACAATTTTGGCTCTTCTGCGATCCCTAATGTCTCAGCCCCTTCCTATGTGGAGCGCACGCACCCCTACATGAGGGAGGCCATCTGCACAGGGCTGGTGTCTGACCACGCAGAGGCTCAGCTCTGCAGACGAAGGAAGTCGCCAGCACTGGCAGAGGTGCTGTCTGGTTTCCCACTATTGTTCCCAGTGGCAAATAAAAGGGGGGTGAACGCCCCTGCTGAGCATTGTAGGAGGGGGGTTAGTGTTATCTCGATAAAATCTCATGGCCCCTCTCTGAGCAGCTCGTGCCTCTTTCCTGCCTGTCTCCATCTCTGTGTATTCTCACGTCCGTGGTACTTGCAGCTCTGCACATGACTGTGCTCAGGCAGTTCTCCCTATCCTCACACACACGCTGGGCAGCCCCATGCTCTGCCAGTGAGACGGGTGGATAAATCCCTGTTAGAGTGATGTTTCTGACTGGTCTGTGTGGGAAGCCTCCTCTGCATTGCTACCCTGGGACCTGGGTCTTGTCTGTGTTACAACGTTCCTGTGTCACCTTGGCCAGCCATGTAGGACCAAGTTTAAGGTCTGTCTTGGGACGTAATCTCTTGAGCCCTGGAAGTGTTTGTTGTCTTAAAGTGGGTTCAAATAACTAACCTTGATGGTGGCTATGTGAACAGTGTCTTTGTACTGCCTTTGTCCCTGCCAAAGGGGAATGTAAGTTGCTGGAAAGAGCCAGTGGGATACTCTGATATTTTGAGAGGTGGCTCTGAACTCTGTGTTCTCCCTGGGATGGCTGCAGGGGAGCAGGGTGACAAGAAACTGTGTGCACATGCGACTCAGCAGCATGCTGATAAACAGACCCAATGCCAGAACCCACCATCCCCAGCACTGCCTCCGTGCTCAGCACAGGAAGGTTTCACCAGCAGCTTCAGTGACCTCAACAGCAAACAGATGTTCCCAGTCTGTTGGGCTTTATGACCCCCAGCTAACAGGAAGCACCTCCGGGGAAGGAGTGCTTATCAGCACTTACCTCTGCTCTCTTCAGGAGGTTTTGGGGAAGGGCAAAAGCTGTCTCCCAGCTGGCTGTACAGCAGCAGCATGACTGCACTCAACTGCTCTCTGTAGGGCTTGAGAGAAGGATGAGGGGATGCGGGTCTTCTGGGTCTTGGCCTTCTCATCCTCTAACTTTCCCACTGACTTCTGGAGTCCAGCAAAACACCACTCATTTGTTCAGCCAAACTTGGGATACTGTGTATTGACAGCTCTTACCTGGGAAGCAGACCGCAGGTGTGATGCTCCCCTGTGAGGACAGCCTTCCCATGTCTCAGGGTTGGGGAGGATGGTGCTATTGAACCTGATGTGCAATGGCTCCTCATGCCAAAAGAATTGCGTCTCAGTGGAGCATGGATGGGAGGTTGCAGAGAGCTCCCACATATTGCCAGTGCAATCCACACAGCTGGGGCTGAGTCTAGAGCTACGAGAAGGGAAAGAGCTGGGGTGCCATTCATGTCACTCCAGCAAGGGACTGTCCATAACTCATGTCATCTAGAGGGGATGTGTTGGCTGCCCTCTCCTCCAAGTGGATTGGAGCACTGTGGGAGGGATAGTTGAACAGGTTTGGTATGCTGCTGTTGATTTTGGGTGCTGCCCCCTGCCACAAAAGGAGGGATCTGGGATGCTGCTTTTGGCTGAGCTGTTACACACAGAAAAGCAGTGAATGTAGTGGTTAAACCTCCATGGCCAACTGGGAAGAAGCTTGTCCTATGCATTGGCTGGATTAAGACCCCTATGGTCTGCGTGTGGTGGTCTCTCCACGGGAGCCCACTGAGGAGGATGGGAATTGGTTTAATCTCCTAAAGTCCCTAACAACAGGAAGTGTACATAGGGAAGCTATTTCTTTGGATCAAAGTCTAGTGGCTTAATAGTAATTGGTGGGGCCTTGCGGAGGCAGGGATGCTGTTAATGTGTAAGCCACAAGGAAGTCTAGGGATGGTCTAAGGTCCTAAGTGTGAAGCATTTCTGAGCTAAACTGCTGGTGGCTCCCTACCTGGTTACTCTGCTCTCTGAGGAAGATGTCTGTAAGGGCTGCTGCTCCTGTCCTCTGTCACCCAGGGTCCCCAGCTCAGCAGGGCTGAGTGAGGGATCAGCAAGCCACAGCCACCTCTGCTCTTACCACTTGCATGTTATTTCTTGGGCAGCAGGTGATGCTGCCCACCAAACGCTGGGTTGTGTCCCTCTGCTTCAACCCTCTTTGTACCTCTGTGTTCATGCTCTCCTGCTGAAGACAAGCCTGTTTTCATCTCCTCTCTCTCTGATGTCTTTCCTTGCTTGCTGGCTTCACTCAGCTCACTCTTTCATCACTAAGAAACCCATTCAAGTCCTCCACATGGAGGGTTTTTGGCCATGGGAGGAACATCAGCTAAGAGCAGTAGATGTTCTCCTGGCTGGGGCACCTTCTCTTAGCAGCACCCTCTCGCTTGCAGTGGCAGGGGAGGAATAGCTGAAGGAGCCCCGCAGACAATTGTTTGTCTCTACCTTAGGAAAAGTTTGAGATCTTCAACCTGGGTTTGAAGACTGGGCACAGCCTGAAGATCAAGGGCAAGATATCCGATGATACTGATAAGTAAGTACAAAGAAACCACCTCAGCTTGCCAGGACTGATGGTGGGCTGTAGAGGGAGGTGGTTTTCCAAGGTTGCCAGGTACAAGAAGCTCAGTGTTACGGGAGCCCCTAAGCCACCACTGTTCAAACTCCTCCAGTTCCTGAGCAGAATGAACAAACAGGAGGCATCAAGCACCTGCAACGCTGATGGAGGGATTGAATGCAGAGCCACGTGTTGGATCTCGGGTCTTCCAAGACCTTGTCCTGCCTGCGTGGCTGACCTTCCCCCTGTTCTCCCACAGCTTCAGCATCAATCTTGGCTGCAGGTCCTCAGATCTGGCACTTCACTTCAATCCCCGGTTCAATGAGTCTGTCATCGTCTGCAACTCCAGGTGCTCCAATGCCTGGGAGGCAGAGCATCGCGATGACCACCTCTGTTTCTCCAGGGGCTCCTCTATAAAGGTGAGGAACCTATGCTGGCATGGGGTTATGGAGGGGCTGTGTAGTGGGGGGAAGCCCCTGGTTAGTAGATTCCCTCACCCTGGAGCTCCCAGTCGCACTTGATGTTTCCTGCTCCCTCCCAATAGCCCTTCATTCTCTGGGATTTTGGTCCTAATTGCCATTTCCACTCCTGCTTTAAAACCCTAATGCTTCCTTTGAGAACTTCATGTGAACCCTGTGCGTCTCAGGCTTTCTAAGTGCTTCCTGGCCCCTCTACTTGCTCAGCAGATGAGTGCACTAGGGGCATGTATGAAGTTGTGAAGGGGTCTCCAAGAAGCAGGATCTTGCTGCTCTCTGCTTTATTTCTCTCCCTGATTCTGTTCTGTGCAAAATCGGGCACCAGAATTTGGAGCAATGTCCAAGAACCTCTCCATCAGCTCTTCTACCCCTGCATCCACGCTACCAATCTGTGCTCTCTCCTCCTGCTAGGATGCTGTCCTAGTTGCTGTCTCACCCCATCTGATGTCTCCCGACACAAACAGTGCTGCATTTAGGAGCAGTCCTATTCCTATTGCTGTGCAGAGGAAGCTTGTTTCCTCAGTCATGGCTGGCTCTTGGGGAAGGAGTGTCAAGGTAACAGCTTTGGGGAACAATTCTTCTAGAATCATAGGATCAACTAGGTTGGAAAAGACCTTTAATATCATCAACCTTTACCCCAGGACTGCCAAGTCCAGCATTAAACCATGTCACTGAGGGCCTCATCTGCATGGTTTGTGAACACTTCCAGGGACAGTGACTCCTTCCCTGGGCAGCCTGTTTCAATGCCTGAGCATCCTTCTGGTAAACAAATTGTTCCTATTGTTCCGATTGTTCCTAAGAAATCCAGTCTAAACCTCTCCTGGTTGAGCTTGAGGCCATTTCCTCTTGTCCTATCTCTTGTTACTTGGGAGAAGAGACCGACCCCACCTCTCTCCATCCTCCTTTCAGGCAGTTGTAGAGAGCGATAAGGTCCCGCTGAGCCTTCTCTTCTCCAGACTAAAACCCCCAGTTCCCTCAGCCATTCCCCATCACACTTGTGCTCCAGACCCTTCACAGCTCCATTGCCCTTCTCTGGACCCGCTCTAACACCTCAATGTCTCTCTTGTAGTGAGGGGCCCAGAACTGAACACAGTGTTTGAGGTGCAGCCTCCCCAGTGTCCAGCACAGAGGGATGGTCACTGCCCTGGCCCTGCTGCCACACTATTGCTGGTACAGGTCAGGATGCTGTTGGCCTACTTGGGCACAAGCTGCCTCCTGTTCAGTTCTGTGAATCAGCACTCCCAGGCTCTTTTCCATGGCAGCTTTCCAGCCACTCTTCCCCAGGCCTGGAGCGTTGCATGGGCCTGTTGTGGCCCAAGAGCAGGACCCAGCACTTTGCCTTGTTGAACCTCACCACTGACCACAGCCATTGACTTCATCAGTCTGCAATGATCGGTGATATGTTCTCATCCCATCTGCTTGTGTGTTTATCAGTGAAGCTCCTTTTTCCAGGCCTGGTGAGCTGCTGAGGGCATTGGGGTGTTAAGTTTATTCTGCCCTGTTTGGAGCAGATCTGAGCCATATGGTGTATAAAGATACACTTGTGTTCAACTGCTCTGAGCTTACAGTTTGAGTAGCTGAAACAGCCCCAGGATAGATTCTGTCCCCAGGTCATAGTCTAGATACCAGCTCAGACCCTTGATACTAACTGCTCATTTCCTGCACCCTCCTCAGCTCAAGCCCCTACACCTTGTTTAAGGCTACAAGAACCAGGTCTAACGCTGTAACAGTGAGGCCTGTTGCCTGGATGCTCGGCTCCTAATCTCCCCCTTGTCCCCAATTGCTGCCCTTCTTCCCCTTCCTTCTCCCAGATCGTTATTGAAATGCTGGAAGACAAATTCCAAGTGAAACTACCAGATGGGCATGAAGTGGAGTTCCCCAACCGGCACTGCTACGACAAGATCAGCTACATGAGTGTCAAGGGAGGCTTCAGGGTCACCTCCTTCAAGCTGGACTGATGGGTGCAGCTTCCTGGCTCTAATAAAAACCCAAGCATTGGGAGACTGCTTGCTCCAGTGCTTTGGCTTGTGTAACATCCCTGGCTCTGTGTGAGACACCAACATAGCCCAAGTTTTTTCCTTGTTGGATGGAAACAGCTCCCAGATAATGCCAGGTACTTTTCCAGGTCAGACCAGGGTCTGGGGTTGAAGGGATAGTAGGTATTCAGGAAGAGGTTTATAGGTGGTATTCAGGAAGAGGAAGACTCTATGTTATTGCTCAGGGAATGGTTGTGCAATCTCTTCACAATGCACCATTTCTTCATGCACCTGAGTTTTTGGGAGGGAGGGAAGAGGTAGAAAAGTGAGAGATGGGGCATTCCACATGGCATTTGGTGCCACAAAAGCGCCTAGGTAAATGTTAGGTTTGGGAACCTCAGGGCATGGGTTTAACAGGTTCCTCTGGGCAGGAGGAAGAGGTGCTTTGCCCTCCCCCAGGAGCGGTACCATGTGAAGCGGTGGCACGGTGAAGGCAGTGCAGGTGTGCCCCTGAACCAGCATTCCTGCTATTGATAAGGAAGTGTCTCCTCCAATTTCCCCCTTATCTCACCTCACTTATCTGCTGGCACATTCCAGCCAAGTTACCCATTACTCTGATATTTCCCCATGGAACTCTATCCAGAGAAAGTGAGGCAGGGGAAGGCAGTGGGGAGCGAGGACTGGGTTTGGGCTGGGTTACGCAGCTCAGCATCTCCCAGTCTGTGTCCCTTGCACTGGACTATAGGCAATTGGTGTTGATTACCAGACACTGCTGCTCCAATTAGTGAAGTGTCTCACCAGCCTTAAATGAGACCAGTGTGTGACAGGAAACACTGGGACACTTTAGGCAGGACAGGAGGGCAGCAGAGTAGAAAAGCATCTTACAGATAGCCTGGTTCAAGACAATGGACAGTGCCCCTGCCCTCCTTCTCTACTTCTTGCTGCCCAGCCCGTGGGGCTTGCTGCTGCCTGAGTGCATCAGGATGTTTGACAGGCTGGAAGTGCTGTAGCCAAGCCAGCTTTGGGAAGGGTACCGATCTGCTTCAGGCTCCAAATGAACCGTTGCTGGGATGGAGAGGAAGCTTTGCAGCCTCCTGTATGCCATGTGGGGCTGGGTGGATAGGAAGTTGCTTTGTGTGTTAGCCACGGTGGGTGGCAAAGTACCAGGCTAGTAACCCAGGGATCCCACAGGTGCTGGCAAATCCTGTTGAGAGCGGAGAGGATGGGATTTTGTGGCCAGGACGCCATCAGACTTAGCAAGGAAGATAAAAGATCACTGCAGCTGATGGGAGTCACCAGAGAAGTTAGTATCAAAAGTGTTTTAATAAGGACAATAATAAGTGCATGGGTTACAGAGTGGAGGCAGAAAGGATATTCCACAGATACGGGTCTTTGGTCTGGAGCTTGTGTTACGGTCTGGGAAGCAGAGGGTGGGGGGAATTCATCCTGAGAGCCACAGGGTGCAGGGCTCTCATCATCAGTGATACAGCTGATGCTGCTGAGTGCCATGGCCAAAGCTGGGGACTCCTTGAAGCTGCTGCCTGCCCTGGCTTGTCCGTAGCCTTGGTTGCCACACTGCAAATGGCACTTTCACATAGAACACACGTGCACACCAGAGCTCTGTGTTCTGCCCTGCAGAGCTCCCTGCCAGGAGCAGTGGGGGAGCCTTGCGCCATGGCCCAGCATCTCCCCCTTCCTGTCCCCGAGAACAAGGGGTGTCCTGTGAGGGTCCCTCCAGTGACCTCAGCCCCTGAGAATCTCGGCTCCGTGCCACGGCACAAAGGCGCTTCTGTGCGGGCCAGTTTGCACTGGGGCAGCGTGGGGGGGGGGCAGCTCATTCCAGGGCAGCCCCGTTGCTTGGCAAGTGGCATTAGCCATTAGCCGTCCTCCATGCATACCCCTGGGAAGGGGCACCCTGGAAAGAGGGATGTATGTGTAGGGAATGGGGAAGAGGAGGTGAGGATGGCACAGACCGAGCGGCTGCAGAGTGGGAGTCTCCTTGTTCTGAGGTGGGGGGAATGGAATGGGTTTTTAGGGCCTCAACTGCAGAATGTGGTGACCTGACATCCTGGCCTCTGCCTCCAGCCAGACAAGAAGTTTCTCCCCTCCCTGCTGCAGGGAGGTGGAGGTCAGAAAAGGAGCTGTCCTAAGTGATGCTCAGCAGCAGGAGGCAAGTGGGAAGACTCTTCTGGTTATCTCTGTGAGTGCTCTCACCTCCTGAACACTGAGCTCACAGCTTTACTGGTGGGAGGGGAGGGAAAAAGAGAAAGCTCAGCTCAAGGGTTAGCCTTGAGCCCCCAGCTGACCTCCCCTGGTAGACAGATGTGCTATATAGAAGGTCTTGCACCAGCTGGAGCTGGGGAGACCCCCATCCCCTATGTGCCAGAGCTATTGGTGGGACTATCTCTGCAAGGGCACTGGTGCCAGTGCAGAGGGAGAGGGCAGTTGGAGTCTTTGGTGGGAGAATGGAGCACATCCCCAGACATGCTGGCAGGGGCAGGCTGAGGGATGTGAGAGAGGATGCTAGGGGGAACTGGATGGGATAAGAAGGGGCTTGGGGTTTCTTTGGCACATTGGAATGTCCCTTCGGTGTCTAACGGCAGTCTAAGGGTCACAGTGCCTGGTGCTGCGATGTACAGCTCCCATCAGCCCCCTGCAGCAGCCAGGCCCAGCTTCAGGGAGCCTCTCCAGAGATGGGCTCTCCTCCTGCCCCCCTCCAGCCTCCCCAGTGTCCCCAAGGAGGTTGCCCGCTGGGTCTGCTGGTGATGCTGGTGCCTGCAGGTGGGGGACAGGGAGGAGGGCAAAGACCCCAGCACCAGTGCTTCTGATGTGGGCTGTGATGGCAGTTCACACCTTGACTTCATCGTCCTCCTCCTCATCAGCGTACTCGAAGGAGTTGCTGCGCCTCCCCCGGGCACCAGCATACCCCTCCTGCAGGCTGGAGAACGTGGCCTCTTCCTCCTCCTCCTCCTCCTCCTCCTCTCCTTGGTTCCAGGTGGTCTCGGGGGATCGGCTCTGCCCTGTCACTTGTGACCGCCACAAGCTGCTGCTGGGGCTCTCCCATAGGGTCTGCGTCCGGGGCTGCCGGGGACCCTCACCCTTCTCCGAGCTCCGCGGGGTGCTGGTCCCACCATAGTGACGTGCCAGGACCTGTGTTGCCCGGTCAAACTCTCCCGCCTCGATGGTGCAGTCGTTCCAGTGGCCCTGCCACGGGGTCCCTCTGGGTGATGTCCCCAGCCCCGAGGCCCAGGCAGGGTCCTCTCCGGTGCCCTCGATGGCGTGTGCCTCTCCATTGGCACGGACTGACAGTCCTGGCAGTGAGCTGGCCCGCGACAGGCTGCTCTGCCCAGAGCGGTCCCAGAAGCTGGACATTGCCTTGTCCTCTCCCAGTGCCAGAGGGACACCATCCCTGGTCCCCTCACTGCACAGGAGACCTGTGCCATTCTCCCCCAGTTGGCTCCCATTGGTTTCGGAGAAGCTCATGACCTGGAGGAGCTCGCTCATAAGCGAGGGCCCCAGGTCCAGGCGGAAGGAGAGCAGGGAGTCTGAGCGTGTCAGCTCTGTTTCCCCAGGGAAGGAGCTCTCTTGGGCCTTTTCCAAGCGAGGGACGCGAGGGATGGTGCAAAACCCGGACTCCAGCCCTGCAATGCAGAAAGGATGGCTGGTGAGGTGGGAGAAAGCTTGCCTGACATCTGCGGGGGACAAGGGATACTGACACCGAAATGGCACGCTCCCATCGTTGGCGCTGGCCTTTAAAGGACATCTCCAAAGGCCCGTGTTACAGCAGAGGGTCTCCAGGTGGGCTCTGGGCTTGGGAGGATGCTGGTGGGGGCTGAGCCAGGCAGACAGGACCAGAAGATGGCAGCATTGCCTCAGCTTGCCTTTCCCTCTGAGCCCAGCCGTCTCCCCCCACTGCTGCAGGACCCCCAGATCCTCTGCTCCAAACCTCCCACCCTGGGGAAAAGCTGAGCCGTAGCCCAGTGCTGTGAGGCCAGAGAAGAGCTACCCCACTGTCCCTTCCCGTCCTTCCCAAAGGTCCATCCTGGACCCCAACCGGCATGGCAGGATGTGGCACAATGGGGAAGGAGGGGATGGAGTGCCTTCAGGAGGACATGGAGGTGAGGCAGGTTGCACAGCTAGGGACAGGGATAGAGCATCTGTGTGTGGAGGTAGGGAAGGCTGTGCCGTAGGTCCCCTTGACCTCACAACCATGGTATGGGCATTGCCCCACTGCCCCAGCATCCTCTTGGGGAGGCTGCTCATAGAGAAGGTGTAGGGCTTGGGGGAGATGGAGGGCACCCCCTTACAGCGACTCTACATGGGCTGCCAGCCATGTGAGAGGAGGAGAAACCATCCATATCCTACTCTTAGGGAGACCCACCAAGGGCAGGAGCAAGGACTGCAATTGAAAGCAAGGATGGGTTATCTCCTTGCATGGATTTACCAGGACTGGGGACTCCTAAATGTCCTCTCTACGCTGAGAGACTGAAGTCCCTCAGTGGGGAAACCGAGGCATGGAGCGATGGAGAAAGGCTGCGGAGGTCACACCGTGCCTGGGCACCAGCCTCTGCCCCGCGCTTCACTCACCGTAGCTCTGGTGCGTCTTGGAGAAGCTGTTGGAGGCACTTTTGAAGGAGAACTTGCTGGTCAAGCCCCGGCTGCTGCCGCCGCCGCCATCGTACATGCCCTCGTTGAGCTGTGGCAGTGAGATGGCGTTCTTGATGATGGGCGAGATGGCCGGGGGTGCCGGCGATGCCTGGCTCCCGCTGCCGCGGCTCCTCGGCGGCGCCCGCCGGACGTGCCGCAGCGTCCGCGTGAAGAAGTTGTTGGCTTTGGCGGTGTCGGCTCCGCCGTGGTTGCTGAGGAAGGAGGTGTCCCCGAAGACGTCCCCGCCGCGCCCCACGTGCATGGTGTGCCGGAAGTCCCCCAGCGGTGGGCTGATCATGTCCGGCGTCAGCTCCGACTTCAGCCGCCGCTTCCCGTGGGAGCCTGACACCCAGCTGAGCACCGGCAGCTTCCCCAAGCTCATGGTGAACCCCTC